AGTGATTAGTACACTTGTGTTGGTCCGGCGCTATTGCTTGAATGTGGAAGGTTGCGGCCTCAGCTGCTCCGACTCGTTGGACAACGTAAGAGGCGTGTGTGCTGTCGCAGGCAGCGATGTCGTTGACACAGAAAAATATCAGGGAATATTTTGTTCGACAGTAGGGCACGCAAGTAAGCCACCATATTAATAAAGTACTTTTCTTCTAGTTTGTTATGTGCCTCGTGTCAAAACCTATATCGGGCCTATATCGAATTATGCCATATATCGAACTAATTAACCTTTTTTGGCGAGTTCGATATACCCGTGTTCGACTGTACCTACGTTATGCAGTGAGCACTCTGATTATGTTAGTTTTTTGTTTCAAAGGAATATATCGTCCTTCTGTCCTCCCTACTTTTTGAATGATGCCTTTCCCCTTCTCCATCGAGAACTCCCATTTTTTGTGCCATTCGTTCGGCGCGGGAGATGCAAGGTCAGGGTCGCATCTTCTTTACCATCGATGGGTGTTGAAACATACTCAGAATCTCTCCCGTTGCTTTTGCGATGGGTGGGAAGGCCGTGAGAAGCGCACACAGGTGCAGTGCAGCGTAGCCATGATAGAGAGTATGAGCCTTCATCCACAAGAAGGCAACACCATCGCCACGCCATCTTGAAGGTCCGTCCGTTCGCGCCGTCGTGCTGTTCATGTTTTTGCTTGCAGAAAGTGTAAGCACCCAAGTTGCTGTGCAGATTTCATACACAGCACATGCAGTGAATTTTATACGCTTGCGCCGAGCGCGTGCACCTTCAAAATGACAACCCCGACGCTAGTGATAATCGCGGATGGCATCATGTGCATACCCCCTATATTAGTCGCAAGTGAAATTTTCAGAAATTTTACTCCGCACGGTAGATGCACCCCAAACTTGCAGCCTGATTTTCTGGAAAAAAGGTGCCCCTAACATGCGAGTAAGTAGCGTATATGGAGCATTGCTGCCCAAGCCTTACTTTAACCTACGTTTTGACAGTTTTTGACTACCTTTATTTAATCAGGACAACTCATGGAAGCAAACCTTATCAGATCAAATACCTTATATACTCCACTACAATAGCTATGCTCATGAACTTTAAGAACGAAGTATTGTTAAAAACAGTGTGAAGAAAAAGCTTAAGGAGTATTTTCTTACTTCTACTGTGCCCTAATTATACTATTCATTATAAATATTTATTTGAGTGTTTTTTCTGCTTTTGTATTTTTGTATAAAAGTCGGTCATCTTCATTTTTTTGTAAATGTATTTCTGTATAGTACCTAGTTTTCTGTCCAAAAATTCTCATGTTTTCAGTTTTTAGAGATTAATTTTGCTAAGGGCAAATTAGTGTTGACTGTGAATTATTACTTTAATGTGCGTGTTTTGACATCTATTATGCTTGTTAAATTTGACATGTCTGTGCCCCCCTCCAAAAAAAAAGGTAATATCAATTTTTTTGCTGCACTTCATCTAAGCATATGTGTGGGTGGAGGTATCTTAGTCAGGCAGAGATAATCGGCCTTTAAGTGAATCTAAGTGAGTCTTACTTTTTTGCCAACCTATAATTATATCTACTGTCACATAATTCCCCTGTCACCATAGGACAGACTCACAAGCTGGTGCCGTGTCTTCACTCAAGGACTTGTGGCTGCCAATACACACAGAATCCTTTCTACTGTCTCGCCATCCGCATTACGCCCGGTGCATATCGTCAGGACTCCTGGACACGCCTTTCTCCATGGCAATGAAAGCACTCATGCGGTTGCTCGAGGTCTGACTTGCCGGGCACCACTGAAGGAGCTGTTGGACCCAGACTTGGCACAAGCAGAGCCACTAAATTGCAACGCGACGCTGGAGTACTACCGACAGAGCAGCCGTTATACACATTCTCATCCTTCACTAAACGGAGCAGATGCCGCCACTTGGCAACAACTGCAAACAAATTTATTTCCTTGCCAATACATGCTAAATCGCTTTCATTCAACTCTGTACCCTCCTACTGCCCTTTCTGTGGATCTGTACATACAGTGTACCACTCTACATGGGAATGCTCTGCTCCGCAGGGTGTTCCTTTCATCCCTACCCCTTCCTCTTGAGTGTCAGCTCTGCGCAGCTAACGCCGGCAGGAAGAGCAGCAGCTGGTTCAATGGGCTCACAGGGTCGCGCAAGGCAATGAAGCCTTGGACTGAAGTGCCCCACCCAACGAAAGGCTCTATACATTAGTCAATAAAAGTTAATTCTCTCTCTCTTGACTTATTCACCTTTTGGAGAGTTCACTTCGACCTACCCCGATTGGCTAAAACTCAGTGTATTTATCGTCGATTAGCTTTGACAACTGTTGACCCAAATAAGAGGGCTAGAATGCATTTCACCGCAATGAATGTTGAGCCCAGAAATCTGCTTTTGGGTATGCATCTTGGAGCCTGTGCACGAACTGTGACCATGTAGAACCCTTGAATTAGGTTTAATGTAGCCACCTGCCTAACACGCCTGGAAAGTCTGTACTGCGTTCCCGGCATGGTTCTCAAAACCTTGACATGTTCATATGCAAGTTCACATTTGTCAGGTTTGTTCAAGTGTTACGTCTCGTTTGATTCCTTCCTCAATTCACTGACAATCTGCTGGTGGGTTTGATGCTTCAACGGGCTGAAGAACACCACGATGTCTTGACTAGCCGCTTTTTTTTTTCTGACTGAGCTCCACCGAAGAGGACATTTCCACCGGGTAGATTCATAGAGAATAGTCCGCCAGGAATCGTGTTTGGTGTGCTCTGTACACTGTCTATAGCGAGTGTGTTCCCTTTCTCTTGGTTTTCAAAAGAAAATGAAATTTGCACGAGTGCTGTTGTCACTTTGTAGGCATTTTACAGTTGCAGTTTCTTTAGGGAAGCTCTTTTTTGAACCAATACTTCCTTGATGTTCGTTTTTGCGTGTGGTCTAAAAACACTGCTAATTGATAGTGCATGCTTCCGAGAGAATATAAGTTGAATGTTAGGTCACAGTGGGTGGCTGGGAATGTTCAATGACTTCTTAAAATCGGCTAGAAAAAATCTCTCGCTTTTGCTTTGCAAATGATGCCATAAACCCAAATTACCGCACCGCTAACCCGAAATTCGTGGCCATTGGCTCATTTGAGCAGCATAGTTACGGCGGCCACCACATGATAGTGCGATGCGCCTTGCTCACAATCCCGCTGAAAATTAACCATGTGTGTGAATAAAAAGAGAAGTGCTCAACATCCTGACACATGGAAAACATCGTCAGTCATTAACCTGGTAATAGTGATGGGAAGTGCTGAGGTACTTAATATTCACGTAGGCAGAATTATGGATTTCTCTTCATTTTACAAAGTGAAACTTGTTTAGTGCCAGGCATACACGAGGAACTGCACAGCTTCGTTTTTATGTTAGCACGAAAAGGAGCTTGTTAAGTAATGTCAAAAGTTGGGTGAGTTGCTAATAATTCATGATTACGTATGAAGCCGCGCACGCCGACAGGCACAAAGGAACGATAGGGACACCACTGCACTCTCAACTAGTTTATTCGCAGAAAAACGTTGTTATTATACAATAAGATGGTGTACCACGTGCTACAATGACATTCAGGCTACAGCATATTTTCTAAAAAGCACACTTTGCAATTGCTCAAAATTATCATTGCTTGGCTAATGCAGTAATCTTTTCTTTTTGCGTCTAAATACCCTCTGCATAGCATATTACATAATCTGTAGAATATAGGCAGCCGATATGGAATACATGTTGTTTTTTCTGCACCTAACAAACTAGGGAAAATCTGCGCCAGGCTGGATAGGAAGTGACCAACTGTCGAGCATGTTTTTTCGTTTGTTGAGTTCAGAACTGCGGTAGTATACTGTTTGCTCTTGTCATGCGGGAAGATGTACATCGGCCAAACTGGCCGGCGCATAGATACAAGGTTGACCGAGCACAAGAGAGCATTAGCTAATAATGCTTACTCACTCATAAGACGGCATTGTTCAGAGCGTGGCTGCTCCCCGCTGCTTTCTGAGACTGAAATACTTTCCAGTCACAGAGATGAGGTGATCAGGGAAGTGATCGAGGCCTTCCACATCACAAAGAGAAAAGAGTACTGCATTAGCCAAGCATTGATAACTTTGAGCGATTACAAAGTGTGCCCTGAACCTCATTGTAGCACGTGGTACACCATTTTGTTGTATAATAACGATGTTTTTTTGGGAAATAAACTAGTCGAGAGTGCAGCAGTATCCCTATTGTTCCTTTTGTGCCTGTTGTCGTGCGCTGCTTCATATGTAATCAGGAGCTTGTTAGGCTGGTTTTTTTTCTAGCGAAAATTGTTATGTGCACTTAACCACACAAAAGGAAAAAATCTCCGTGCTTACATCAATAGCACTCTACAGTGAGGAACTGCGTGATTATAGAGTGAAGGAAAGCGTAGTTTTAGGGGCTCGTTTTTGTTGTTAGGCACGATAATAATGAGAACTAACAGACAATAAAGCCTGGAAAAGTAATGGGGAGTGTTAGTGCACTCGCACCTCGATGTAACGAACCCAGATATAGCGAAATACCAGCTATAACGATGTAGATGAAAAATAGTCTTGCAATAGATATAAAATCAAGCTTTATAAGGAATTCTCGGATGTAAGGAACTATTTTCATGTAAGACGCAAATTTGTTATAATGAGGTAGTGTTTATGGGAAGAAAGGAAAGTGGACGACAAGATAACATGCCACACAGCACAGACTGATTGCAGCCAAACCTTGTACAAGCTACGAAGCCAATATAGAGTGCTCTTGTTTCTAAGTTAGGGCTAGGGTCAGGTTGTCCAGGCAAAGCAATCACTGAAGGGATATTATGCAGTGTGTAATGGAAGGCACAGTGTGTGATGCCAACAGCAGCAGTAGGATAAACAAATGACCCTATTGATGAGTGTTGAAAAAATAAAAATAGCTTTTTGAGGCTGCTCTCATTCCTCTCTATCTCTCTTATCAGCATTCTGCTCTACTGTGACGGAGTGGAGCTGACGTTTGAGGGCTCTGATGCGCATCAGTTCCATGGCACCAAGAAAGGACGCATCTACCTCACCACGCACCGGGTGAGCGTTCTCTTGCCGACACAAATGTTCCCATTACCGAAAGCGATGCATGACGCTTCTTAACATTGAATCCTAGCTGAATCACGACTTGCCACATTCTAAGATATCTCTGAGAGTATGTTGTATCTGCTAGTTGCTAGGGCTCTTGATGTGCTGCACATTTCTGCTTCACTAATACGCATATTAAATGAGATATTCAATATGACAAATATTGATTCACCCTGCTGTAGCGGTTGCATTTGGTGGATTATGTGCAGTTAGAAATAAGCAGGATTGGCACAGGTAACTAAATTCGTTCTCATGAATTGATGGTTTATCAACGCAAGCTTTGTCTCTAATTGACAGGTTGCAGGTCTGAGCAATTTCTTTTGTTTATTTGTTAAAAATGATGCTGCTTCTGTTAAACTATATGCTCTTGAGCAATGGCTGCTTTTGTGACCCACTAGGCTAGCTCAGCTAACGTACGCTTCTGTTGCAGATGGTCTTCACTAACAGCAACAGCAAGGATTTTCTGCAGTCGTTCAGCTTTCCTTTCTTCACCATGAGCAACCTTGGACCTGGAGCAGCCCATCTTCGGTGCAAACTACATCAAGGGCACTGTCAAGGCTGAGCAGAATGGTACTGCCCTGTCTCTCTAGCAGCATTGTGTTGAGAGGTTATTCAGCTGATGGATCAGGATGTATAGGCTGCGCTCAGTTGCTCTTTATTGAGCACAGAAGGCCTGCCCTTTACACTCAACTGCATGAACCAATGTGTTACGGGTTGGTCCCCTTGTTTTATGTCTCACAGCTGTCAGTGACGATTGCGGTTGTCATAACTAGCAAGAGGTAAACAAGTAGAGCGAGACTACCTTATTGTAATGACGTTGAGAAAGACAACAGTCGGGGCATTTCAGATGAAACTTTTTATCATTTGGGGGAACTTGTGCCGAGGAAATGAAACTCAAGCTACTGATAGCGCCAAAGGGAGCGTTGACTGTCAATCAAAACTAACGAGTGGTAAAGCACGACATATTGGAAGTTTCAGCATTATTGCTGGTGTGAGCATAAGCTGTCAGATACATTAGACTACTCGCGTTCTGTGCGCAGTTTTAACAGAATAATCTTAAACAACTGTGAATCTTCTGAAAGATTTTGGTGCAGTCTGTGCCAAACATTTTCAACAGTCTCTGTGAGCGAAATTCTAATGCATTAAATTAATACACGTGGCAATCTAATAACTTGTAGGATCAGCAATTAACTATGATGCGTGAAAAATTTGTTAAAATTGTACACCATGAAACTAAAGTGCACTGTGAATGGGTTGACATTAATTAGTTGATCACACATAGGGACGGTCCTGAACTTACTGGGAGAGACTAACCCATAAAAAAGCGTCTTTAATCTGCAGTCGAGGGCAACGAAGTTATTGCTGCTTACATGGGCTTTTATGCTGATTTCAAATATGTAATTAGGTTTTATGGCAAGCTGCATAGTTTTTTTTTGTACCATGACTGTGTGTAAAATGTAGCTCTTTTTAGACACTTTTCGTGGCACTAAAGTTTTATTTTCATGAGCCATGAATGGCTCATTTACTCCACAATCTGTGCAGAATGCTGAAAATTTAGTAACAAGTGAGTACAAGACATTCTGATGAACAAAAAAAAATGAAATATGAGAAGTCCTAAATAAACTGTCCTGCTCATAATAATTACTTACTGTATATTTGTAATGATTATGTTGTTTTAATGGGTGGTGGATAGCAAAAACAGTTTTAGAACCACTAAGTCGAGCCCGCTTATAACGAACCTCAACGTGTCGCGTCGTCTGTTCACGATTTCCCGAAGTCCAAACTACTTGAATTATACTTTAAATTTTAAAAAAAGTTGTCAGTGAAAACAAACTTTTTTCCATAAAAAAAGTTCGTGGTGGACGTGTTTTGAAGAACAGAAGCGATAAGGATGGCCTTTAGTTTATTAAAGTGGCAGCGTGCTCTTCGCCGAAGCTGCCTGAGGCTATTAATGTAGCCAATTGCTACAAGCACGCTTGTGGGCACTTGCTTCATAGTTTCGCCGTCCAATTCCCGCATGTCGCTCTTACCGCGTATACATTCTAAATGCCCTAATCGGTGCACAGTTTTGCAGTGTCCGCATCCTCATCGCCCGTGATGAAACCATCGCAACAGATGTTTTGCTGTTGCAGTCGATGGCACGCCGCCACAAATCGCCACCGGCGTGGTTCTGTTCGGAAGCTTCAGGCTCAGAATCGGGCCTGACATCAACAAAGTCAGCCTCAGGAAAACAGTTTTGCACGCATGTAGCCGTCACCACCGTCTACTGTCTTCAGCATCTCCACAGCTGAATACTAGGACGCTGGCAGCGGCAAGTTTGCTGCCAGGTGGTCAACAGCTATGAGCAAGCGCTCCACAATGCGGCACCTAACGCGTGGATTATGCTCAAGCCAAGAGGTCACACTTTCGACATTTTCCCAAAACATTTTACAGCGCAATGGGTTCGATTCTGTTGCTACATTTTGTTGAGTGGCAGAAAAAAGCTCGTAAGGCCTCCCGTCCGCCATTCTGACCACACACGCTCGCCAACAGTGAGCAAGTCGTGCAGACTGTACACACATGCCGGCTGGCGTAGCGGAGACGGGCGAAGGATAAAAACTGGAGAGCAGAGAGAAGGGCAAAGGGAGCAGGGGGGGGGGGGGGGGCGGCATACGGTGACCTTGAAACTTGTAGCAAGAAGGCACGTTGTGTAGTTTACCTGAAAGGTCCGCGAAATGTGCAGCTCACGAGTGCACTCATGAGCAGTCAAAGAATCACTTTGTGGCGCTGGTGGGTTTGCACGGCGTCACCGACTTTGATTATTCGTGATTAATTCCATGCAACAGCCGTTTCAAATTCGAAGCATTTGTTAGGGAACTTTGGCAACTTTGGCAACTTTGTCCGTATCTGTCTATATTCCTACCTACCTACCTGCCTGCCCGCCTGCCTGCCTGCCCGCTTGCCCACCCACCCACTTTCCTACCTACCCACCCATGACCTTTAGCTCTCGTGGCGGTTTCGATAATGGTATCTATACCCGAATTGGTATAGCCTAAAATGTCTATATGACGAGCATGAGTGACTAGTCATAACATGAAAATCGTGACATGTATGTCCTGAGTGTCATGACTTACATTTCTTGGTCTTCCTATGCTTGCGATGATTTCGTTTGCATGGCAGTATTGGCAAATGTCGGAGAGCAAATATAGCTAGAATAGCTTGATTGGAGCAAAAAAGTAGCCAGAAATAGCTAAAAACATCCACCAAGGAGCTAAAAAAGTAGCTAAACTATTTTTTCAAACATTTTAAATATAACTATGCTGAACATGCATGAATGTAGGGAGAAGTGTTCATGCTTTGATGCCAATTATTTAGGGCAGGCATGGTTTTATCAGAGCGTTAAGGCTAAGGTGCTCCTTAAAGAGGAGCTGGGAATGCATCGGAGCTCTGTAAACATCAAGGAGTGTAAATATTCAAAAATTTTAAATAACGAACCGAACAGCGCATAATAGAACAACCGAATAATTTTTTCGAATGTTTCTTGAATACCCAGCACAGAGGAGGAGACCCTAGCGGGACAATGCATTGAACAATGACGATCACTTTCGTTCTTTAATTAGGGAATCCCGCAGGGGCGTCTGCACAAGCAGGCATTCTGTGTGTAGCGACATTACGAACCCAAGCTAACGGGGGGCTTTGACCTCTCCTGCACCTAGCCGTGCGTGGCTGAGCTGTGTCTGGAGAAAAGGCGATCCGGGGGGTTGAGTCGACGCCAGGTGATCGGACCTTTAAGGCCTCCTGGCAGAGGTAACACATTTCTTTGGCCCCGGCTTCACGTAGACGGCACCCCTGGGCTGACGCACCTTGGGGAAATCGGCAATCGCCTTTTTCTATATCTTTCCCCTACAACTTCGTCTTTATCTCTCACTTTTAGTGTATCCTGTCTACTTCTCTCTTCTGTTTATTTCCAATTTTCCTGGCGGCAACGGTTAACCCTGTGCAAATAGCCTACCTTGCTCTAGGCGCATCGGGTTATGACAGTGTTGTTCAGCTGACGTCTGCAAGCTTTCAGCATCCGCAAACTTGCAGCATCCCCTTGTAGGGCTTCATGGTGGGTGTCCGCCAACGCTGCTGAATAAATATAAGGCCGGCATGCATGAAGCATTCCCCCAACATACTGATCGTACCGGCTTGAAGCGGGTATGCACCGATGACAAATTTTTTCAATCAGCCCTTAGCAACGTTTTTTCACTTTCACGTCATTCACTGTGAGAAAACTGGAAAGGAAGCCAGAAACGTACCACTTTTCGTAGTTGCCAGGTGTCTTACCGAAACTCTCGGGGCTGGATACAAGCTAACCAAAATGGCTAGCGGAGACCTTCTTCTCGAAATTTGGGACAAAGAACAATTTGAAAAACTAGACGGCCTCTCAACTTTGGCGACGTACCAATCACCGTAACACCACATAGATCAATGAACATGACTCGCGGAGTGGTATCTAACGCAGACTTACTTGACCTGACCGAAACTGAACTTTTGTAGGGGTGGAAAAGCCAAAATGTTACTAATGTACATACAGTCAAATTTCGATATAACGAATTAAGTGGGACCGCCGCAACTCGTACGTTATTTTGAAATATCGTTGTAATGAAAAACTTCGATTGTAAGCAAGAGGTCAAACCTAGGAGCGAACATGACGTACCTTGGCAGTTGCCGTGTGCGCCGACAAGCAAACACACGCACACAAAAAAAAATTACAGACACTTCAAACGTTCTTTATTTGAAGAAATCTGTGATTTTCTTCTGACGCGTGGAGCACAAACGGCTGATTAAGTATGCCTCAACACCTTCCACCTTACGTAGCACCTCATCGGGCACATCACTGCACCGACCAATGTAGGTGCGGACTTTGTTCATGTGCACTAAAACATCCGAGTGTGATATGGTCTCATCCTCGTCAGTGTTCGGTGATACAGAGTCCTCTTCCTTCGGGTCGTCGTCGTCGTCGTCGTCGTGGTCACTGGAGACGTCGCGAACGCTGTTGACAATCTCCTCGGTTGTCATGTCCGCCGACGTTAGTGCGGCGCTGTCGCTCTCCACGTAGTCATCGAAGGAAGAGACGTCGGGCAACAGTTCCTCAACCTCAGTCCACAGGTCTCCTGGATTGCTGTGGTCCTCTTCCAGGTTGTCTTCAACTTGGGCAGGCGCCTTGATTAGGCCTGCTTTTCGCCAACAGTTGCGGATTGTTGACGTCTTCACGTTCCACCAAGCTCCCGTCAGCATTTCCGCCGCTTGACGAATGTTGACTGATATCGGCTGCTTTAAGCGGATATTTATAATAAAACGCTGCACAAGGCGCTTGCGAAATTCCGCCTTAACACTCTTTATGATGCCTTGATCTAGTGGTTGCAGCAACGACGTGTTGTTCGGTGGCAGAAACTCCAGGCGAACGTGCGTCAAGCGAACATTACAATGTGGGCTGAACAGTTGTCGAAGATCAAAAAAATTTTTCTATTTCTTTCCTCATTTGTTCGTCGAGTTTGATGAGCCACTGCGAAAACAATTCTCTTGTCATCCAGGCACGCTTGTTC